TTTCCCAACCTTTACCTCTGTTGGTGCTCTAATAGTTTTTGGACCAGCAGAACTTAGATGTTTTAATACACCTTCTTTGGGTAAATTGGATGGGTCAATGCCTTCAGAAATGGAATCCGGTAGAAATGATACCAAAGATAATCTTGGTAATTTAAAAGTGCCTAATTCATCTCTCCCCACTGAAAATGAAGCAACTTGGCCTGGCTTTATTCCTCCACCTCTTGCTCCAATCAGAGGTCCATCATTTCCAGTAGATACAAGGGGCCCGTTCATGAGAAGAGGACCTCCTTTCCCTCCACTTCCTCCAGGAACCATGTTTGGAGCTTCTCGAGATTATTGTCCACCAAGTGTTGTCCCCGGTCCACCACGTGCTCCATTTGCAATGACAAATGTCTATCCACCGAGGGGTTTTCCTCCTTACCGTCCCCCAAGACCTGGATTTCCACCCCCCACCACCACATTCTGAAGGTGGAATGAGTTTCCATCAGGGTTGAGTCCGACTTCAAATGAGCCTGCTACTGAACATCCAGAAACACAGCAAGAAACCTGACAACATGTTTGCCCTCTTCAAAAGTAATTCTGACTGATCTCATTTTCAGTTTAAGTAACTGCTGTTACTTAAGTGATTACACTTCTGTTCAGATTGAAACTTAATGGAATTATAATTCTCAGGATAGTATTTTATAAATGAGGATGATTTAAATATGAATCTTATGAGTAAATTATTTTCATTCTATTTTATTCTAGATAGTATAACTTTTAATTTGATTAATCCACTATTATATAAACAATGGTGGGAGTTTTATATATGTAATCTTGCAGGTGGGGAGGTTTTAAATTGTCTTTATGCCAAGAACTGTATTTACTGTGGTTGTAGACAAATGTGAAAGTAACTTTATGCTTAAATTTTAATTGATTTAAAAAAAAACTATATAAATATGTATAGGTGGGAATGTAGAATACTATGTAACTGTTAGAATATTTAACTTTAAACCAAGATCTATCTTGGAACTCCTGTCTTATAGATTTTATATCCTCTTTCAGTACTTTGATAGTGTAAAACATTTAGAGTAGAAAGTATTCCTGTTTCCTCTGTTTTCCTCAAAAAACGGTTTCTTCGCCCTCCCTTTCCTTCCTTTTGTCTTCCCTATGCTAATTTCTTCCTTAGTTTGTCATCCTATCATTACATAATTTTGTTGTTATTTCTTTTGTTTTATTTTTATTTGGTGGGAACAACTCTATCCAGACCTTTTACTTTCCCCAGAATTATATAGATAGATTTTTCCTGATTTCTTTCCCAACCTTTACCTCTGTTGGTGCTCTAATAGTTTT